CCCCAAAACCCCAAAACCCCAAAACCCCAAAACCCCACTCACTGTCACCAAAATTGAATTATCTCTAATCAAACAGCTTACTTATTCCGAAAGAAGATGCTATACTGCCGAGAGCAATGCCTAAGACCAAGAAGACCACCATGAACTTTGAAGTAATCTCCTTATCTTGGTCTTTAGCGTTCTTTACCGCATGTATTATCTGGCAGTTCGAGATATACCCATTGGAGAAACCGATTATCACAATGTTTACGATTTTTACGTAATCGTTCCTGAAAAAGGTAATATCATATGCTGCCAAGAAGAAGGCTCCTACTGACGCAAATCTGACACTAGAGAGATAACCAGGGTACTTACATAGTTGTAACTAGGGCAGTCTTCGCATTCAGGATCGTAAAGTACTCTGATGCGTATCTGGATATAGTATCAGCAAGATTGTACAGAGAGATTATGAGCCATACCTCCCATGAAACGTTGTGAATAAAGCCAAGTCCACCGACTAGCATTACGCCTGGGAATACTAAGAAGGTCTGGATGTAGACCAGGATTAGTCCGTAGCCAGGAAGTATTAATTCCTTATGAATTCGCAGGAACTTCTCTAAAGTTGATGCGTCCCTAACATCCAAGCTCTCATCTGTAGTCTCTGAATTTGAAGTATCAGAGAAATGATTGTCTAAAATAAATATATTAGGAGAATTTATACATTTTGAAGTTAATGGTGACTACCTTGAACTAAAGCTAGATCATCCTCTTCATCTGAATTCACGCTGCCTGAAGTAGTTGATTTAGCCGTCCAAGTGGTTAAATAATCATAATACTCTAGTCTTGGCAACATTATGATCAATATTATAGCAATTACTAGCATTAGCACTCCGATTGAAAAGTATAATACAGCACCTTTGAAGTAATTGGAGTTCTCTAATGAATTGTCTGTTGGGAAAACAATTAACGAAAAGGCTCTTGCTATAGCAATTATAAATCCACTCAATGCTCATCCTGTACTCAATGTAGCAATATATGATCCTGGTAGCGTCCCTGCTAGTCCATATGCTCATGATTGCATTACTCCATTAATAAATGAGATTAGGATTATCGTCAGAAATATCAGTGCCCATCTTAAGCTTTCACTTGCTACATACTGCGAGAACACAGGCAATGCCACAGTCATCACCATAATAATAAATAGAGTGACTGTCACTGTTTTGATATTTGGAAAATACTTTGAGAAGACAATCATCAAAATATTAGAGAAGAACAATGGCACATTAGATAAGATTGACACTACAAAATTGATATCCCTATCTGGCACTCTTGTATGGAAATAATCTAGTGCCATGATCAATGAGTTCCAAGGTAATAGAATAGCTATCCCCAAAAATAAGAAGGTAAAATATACTAGTTTATAATTGTCTTTCATTCCTGATTCCTCTAGTTTTAACATTTTCTATTACAACTTTTTATTACCAAATTCTAGATTGGGGTTTTGGGGTTTTGGGGTTTTGGGGTTTTGGGG